AAATTGTGCCGGACTGACAGATCTAAAAAAATCTGATAAAACTAAATAGATTCTATTCTATTCTCCTATTCCTCTCGACCAATTTGAGGTCCAAGGTATAAATAGGAGAATTTCAGGTAATTTGAAAAGTTGTAATAACTGCAAAGGAAGGCTCCAGCACGTGAAAACATGAATTACATTGCATTGACAATATAAGACGTCTCTTATGCATTGTTTTCCAAAAATTGCGATAATGCGTTTTCAACTCAATTCAAGTTGACTCCTCTAAATAAGACAACTGAAGTACTTCAACTCATTCAACGTTAAAATATGTCAAATTTACGGTTTTGAAATAACTGCATGAATTAATCATCTGAAAGACAATCACTTGCATAGGAAAAGCGTAGTGTTGCCCAATACATTAAATAAAGTTTAAATAAAACGTATTTTGCCAAATATCAGAAAAACTATTAATGATGTATTCCTTAACGTGAGTTGAGCATTTTTTGAAAATTAAAGATTAATTCATGCGTTGCATTTCAGCTATAAACAGTTGAGCACATTTTGTTTATCTTTTACCCTCTTTAGCAAAACAACTCAAGAAAATCAATTTCAATGAAAAGTGACAAAATTGTCACAGACTAACAGATCTACAGAATTGGCCTTAACTAAAAATACTTCATGATAACAAGTCAGGTTCTATTTTTTCCTTCCTAGGGAAAGGTTTGAGGTATAAAGTTCGATTTGCTTCCATTCGCACATTGGTTCCATCCATTGAGCAGTAACGTAGAACTTTAAAATTAGTCAATTTGTTACAGAACTTGATAAGTGGCTGTAAAGGGAACGCCAAGTTGTTGAGATTTTCCCAACAAATTCACCTCAGATTTGCATTCTGATTAATCGTAAAACATCTTTTCTACTCAATCATTCTCAATAGCAAAGCACTTTGCCACAACATTATAGTCAATTCTATCGATTTTTTTTCAACCTAAAAGAGAAAGTAGGAGTCTTCAAGTCTACTAAAGAATGTTCGAAGGGAACATACTTTACCTTCAACCACATCGGAAAACCATTCTAGTGCCTTTCAGATCGTTCTCAATCATATGAAGTTGAAACGATTAACGAAATTGATCGTATTAATAGCCACATTTTTCATTTTTTGTGATTAAAAGTTTCAAGATTCTCGTCGTAGGAATGGAAAGTGGATCGCACTACGAAATTGAACTGAGTATGTCTTCACAGTGGGCCGAATTTTGCAGTGCATATGAAAAAGCTCCCGATCAATAATTAATCAGAGATAGACATATTTCGATTGAAATCATCACTTGATTTTCTCCAATAATTTTTATTGCATTAGTTTCACAATAGATTTACACAGAGGGTTTCCATAACCAGGTTAATAGTCAATATCTTGATTGAAAATTTTGCTAAAACAAATTGAAATCAATATTAACGGTTTATTTTCTAAACACTCCAAAGACCTTATAATGTATTGGTTGTCAATCGAGAAAACAATATAGAATGAACAACTTTCAACGTAAAAATAGCAAAAATAACGTGAAATTGCCAAGGAGAATAATGAACAATTTGATCCTACTTCAAGTTTATCGAGTTGACCCTCATGGCCGATGCAGTTCGAGAAGGTGATGAAGGAAATTCAAATTTCACTGATGGGGTTTCACGAAGCAGATGATGTGATTCACTCACTTTTAATTAAATTACTATTGGAGGTGGCAAGCATCAGGAAGGTAATTTAATGGAACGTCAACTAACAGCTTGCTCGAGTATTTTTTAAATTTTCCTAGATTTTTGGATCTACCTAAGTCTCATATATTGAATTCGGGTATATAAACCACTTCTATAAATCGGCAGGTGGAACTGGTAAAGCAAGAAAGTTAATTGACAAAATTTTATTTTTGTTCAACAAATTGCAGTTGAGTATAATTTATGACGAGTATATGATGTTTAATCAAATTTACACGGTGCTAATCGTGTCAATATTTTTAGATGTCTATTAATCATGTTTTGAATCAATCAAACTTACGTTGACCGTCCCTTTAGACCCCATTGCCATAAGAGTATAAATATTCACAAATCTTCAATACGATCAAATGCAGCAATAGAAAGGTTTCATTTGAAAGACTCACAAACACACCTCGAACTAGTGCACAAATTTCAAATTTTTTCCATTTTCCTTGTAATGCTATGCAAAGTGGAGACAATGGCTAGCATGTTATTGCACCAGCAAAGTGATAAGGTGATGAAAATTGGTGTAGTTAATTCCACTCCTTAAAACGTTATTAGACCAATGAAATGGAAATTCTGTTATCGAGATAGAGAGAGGTCTACTAATTCCCTATTTTTTAAAGAAAAATATTTACAATCTTCAACTCCAACCATATTTCATCGAAGAGCTCTCAAAGCAAATTCATGTGCATATTTTTTTATTTGGCGCATAAAGACCATGTGAGCCAAATTCTCATCAAAAAAATCCAGATTTCATGAAGTTTGTCTCTATCGATTTAAAATTGCACAATTTGACAAAATTGACAACACAAGGTGATTAAATCCAAAAATTTATAACTGGTGGACGTATGCCACATCATTGAATTTTAACACTACGAAATTATTTTCCGCATTATTTAATTAGATAGCTGAAGTGAGCAGAGTAAAAACGCGATTAAAATTGATTTAGTGTCCATAAATGCATTAGAAGTCTTTCATTCACCCCGTTCGTAGCGTTAGGAGATACAAACACGTGTTTTAATATTGTTAAGGAAAAAACAGCTCAATCTTATTAATTTTAATAAAAATTTTATCAAACATGGCAAATATGTGGATGTCAAACATTTGAATGCCTATAAAGACTTAAATGTGTTAAAATATTGGAAAATTTCCTTTAAGAAATTAATATGGAGTAAAAACAAAGAGATGTGTTGCCGTGAGCCAATTTTTTTCATTTTTATTAAAATGTATTTTTCACAAAACATACAAAATCAACCGAACCTGTAAAACAACATTTCAGCTGACATCAAACAAATCAATCATTTATTTCATTACCTTGAATTGTAACTCTGGTTGACCCAGCTTGTTCCAACTTGCTCGTTGAACAACCGTTTCGGCTATTTTTTGGCCTTTTTCCTCTGAATGAAGCTCTTTTGGTGCTTTCCAACAGGAATTTTCCAAATTAGATATTATTTTACAAAATGGGCTTTTTATGACAATCAGTTAGTCATTAATCGTTGGAGATATAAAGTTATGACATTTGCCTATGCCACCACGATTCGCTACCAACTAATTATAAAATATTATATTCATATTAAATAGCAGGCGTTTTGGTAGTTATCTTTAGCCCTTTAGTCGACTTCAGACTTCACAGAGAGGAGAAGGAATATCATAGTGAAAAAGACTCGAGAGGGGATGGGGGAACAGAAGAGTGTATCTCAGATGTAAAAGACAGAAACAAAAGGAGATAAAATGGTAGGGTGAGTACTGTGGGCAACTAATATTTTGTTGTGTTTATAATTGCATCTTAAATAAATACCTCAATTTTTATACTTAATTCAGATTTTCTCTTCAAATTAAGTACCATAAACCTTCTTATGACAATTCACACACTTATTTTGGCAATGCATTAATTCAATTAAGGGATAATCACTAAATAGTGATTAGTCAACAGTATTCTAATCTTTACAGAAAAATGCACACATTGTAAAAAGGGATTCAGAAAAATTTGGTAGAACCATCCAATATATGCGATTATGAATGGAATCATGACTTTTTCGTCGCCTCACCCTGTTGTGGTTTATGGCATGTGATGCGATCAATTAATATTAATGGACTGCTCGTTTGAGTTTGGTTTTCTACATCAAAACAGCTGTTAATCACTGTCAGTAAAAATCGTTTTATTAATTATATTTACTAATCCCGATGTACACAATAACGAATTTCGAAACAATACTGAACATTGAAATGGTTTATTTAAGCTAAATTTTAGAAGTTGAGAGAATACTACTTGAAGTGAAACGATAATTTAAGAAAGAAATATGTAGCGCTATTTCTACGAATGAGGAACATCATTGGCAAATCCATTGAACGATTCCGAAAAGGACTAGACAAAGCAAAACATGAGACAATAGTAGAATCAACATTCATGAACACTTTTGGACATCTTGAGAAAAGAGTGTCTTACCTGCAAAAATGGATCCAATTCTGCAACCTAATCATTTGAACAAATTAAACGGTAAATTAAAACCAGATCTTAAAGTAGATATGCATCTTTTAATAATAAATATTAAAGAAATGAAAATTTTTCAAAGGACTGTTATTTGGTAACCAGTTTGAACTTTTATTCTGAAGTAATTAAAGGACCATTCGAACCCCAAATCTTCATTTGGGATACGATTGGCACACATGAACTCAAATACCACTGAATTCAGACTCACCACTGCTTGTTGTTTCTACTGAAATCAAAAACACAATAATGATGGATGTTATTACTATTATCATTATCATTATTACTATTATATCAAATGGCGGGCGTTTTGATTGTTATCATTAGCCCTTTTGTTGATTTCAGTCTTCAAAGAGAGGAAAGAACATCAAAGTGTAAAAATTCAAGAGGAGGGGGGGGGGGGACAGAAGAGTGTATCAAAGACGAAGGTAGATAAGGTGGAAAAAGGTGGGATGAGTACTGCGAATACACTGTTGCGTAATTCTTGCTTGCGCCCGTTCATATTGCCTTGAATAAAGAGAATATATTACAAGTTGAGTCCAAATCAGGCAACTTAAAATTATGCTTTATATTTCATTAAAAAATTATGTGCTAAAACAGCCAAAAGCATTTAATCTTGCAAAATGTCTAACCTTCTTTAACAAGCTTGATTTCGCAATTTGGAACAAAATTTGCAATGAAAGAGTGTTCGCGTCCTACGACAAACAGCTGCCTGGGATTTGTAACGTCATCAATTGTAATTTCAACATAATATATTTAAAACTTGGTGATTAGTGGTCTCAAGTGCTCAATTTGAGTTGTTATCTTGATTTTCACGACAGGGTTTATCTATCGGTATATTGTCCACATAACGAATATCATTGTCTATTTTGACGGTCTGGTCACGTCCATCCACCGTTAGGGTGATACCCTGAAGGTGTCAACAAATGAAAATTCTGTTTGATCAAATCAATACTTACATCGAGTTGGGCCACAGCAAATACCATGGTTTCCGTTTTCCCATTTTGTGTCGCAACAACCCTTGAACATATTGGATCTGGCAAATTGGAACCCTCTATTCTAATAAGGGCATTTATTTACATCAAAACCAAAACGATAAGACTGGCAATCATCTCCTCTGAGATGTGTTCCAACATTTACTACGCTTTTATATGCCTCCTTCATGCCAAGCAATTGAATCTCTGCACTTTTTTCTCACATTTTCTACAATTGATTGCCTACTTCAAATCTTTCCAATTCACGCTAGACAGACTTTGTCATCAGAGAATGGTGCAAAAACAACTCAAGTAGCCAATTTGAGATGTGTTCTATAAGTGGTATAAAATAAATGGCGTGAATTCGGTGAAATTCAAGCACACTACAAGGTGACGGACTACAATTCCATTTCTCTTGCTAGAACCTTTAAGATTTAGAGAAATGTATTGTCATCTATCGAAAAAAAACATTTGAAATTGTCTCGTTTAGTATTAAAGTAAACAATTTGCTTATTCACGTGTGGAATACCGAGTTGGACCACTTATCCGTTCGATGTGTTACCATATCTACGGCCCACTCAGCTGTGTTGTAAATGAGCTTTCGTATACTGGAGGCATTTTATTGTTTAAATAGTGGACGGGCATTGATTTGTGGTCTGATTTGAAGTAACTGCACTCGGATACCACTGTGAACTCGAAGTGGTTGATCTGAAATTGGCCTTAGTATTTTACAATTAAATCATGTATTTCAGACATATGTGATAGATGCTCCTCAAGAATACATTTCAGACATGACTTCTATTTGGAAATTTTGTTCATTAAGCATCATCTGTACTCTTGTTTTTTTTTGTCAAATTAAGCCCATAACATTTGCTGAATTTTAAATATTGACAAATTTAACATAAAATTGTGATGTGGAATGCAAGTAATTTAGATAATATTAACAACCAATTTACAATCAGAAAGTCAAGTTTTAATTACGAACTGCATTCTCTGTAAAATGCGAATTTCCGTTTCAATTGAAAGAAAGATCGATCTCATCCTTCAGTTAATGTGTTGGAGACTGAAAAAATCAATTAGGTAATATTGTTCAAAATTAGTCACAATGTCTGTATTGTCTACACTATAATTTAATGCGTTGAATGCAGTCATTCGTAAACGAATGCCAAAATGGCGAAATTTCAAATCAGATCGATGAGAAGCCATTAGTCAAGCTTCTCTCAGAGATACTTCTACACTGATTTGCAGTAATGGAATAGGAAGGCAAATTTATATCTAACTGTGGAGCTATCCGAACAATATTTGTCATCCTATGGCCTTATTTACGTCAATAGTTGACTAATAAAGTTAATTTAAATCTCCAGTGTACGACATCTGCGTTGGTATATTTTTTAAGCGTCTGTTACCTTCACAAAAATGAAAATTTAAATATGCAGAGACTAAAGGTTCAATTTTAATGGCTTGAATAATGACGCTTCAAACAGATCTTGTGAAATTCAAACATCGTTGAAATATTGAATTGCTTACAAAGATTGCCGAATACAGGACTTACAACTCATATTAGCAAAAAACAACTCTGCCTATAAGATTGGTATCAAAAAAGATCACCGGACTTGTAAAAATTGTTTTTCATCGCTGACGTCTGCTACCTCCAAGACGCGCAAATATGCAAATATGACGCCATTTTTGGAACCCACAATATCACATTTTAGAATGGTTTATTATTGACGTGCTAAATTAAATCAATCGAACCAACAAAGGGCTTCCAAGTTGTTTCAAAATGACAAATTTCAATTATCTGAAAGTCTTCCATAGTTGATTATTTCCAAGAAACATATATTTCGGTTTACGTGTGCTTGTTTCCATAACTTTAAATTCTTTTTCAGATTTGTTGGTTATTATTAGTATTTGACGAATTTGAGCAGTCGTTTGGCAAGTCACTTTACACTGATGTTGCCAATTACGAAATCATATTTCCCGGTAGCATAGGTTTGCAAGAAATGACAATTATGGTCATAGCTACCTGTTAATGGAACTCATATGCTTCCATTTAAGGCGATATCTCAAAAGAAATCAATTAGATCGATTTTGATTTCAGATTGAAGTTAATACCAGTTTAAAGTGGAGACATGGCATCAGTTTTTGGGTGGGGAAACCTTTCTTCAAACCCAAAAACAGATTTTTCTTTGACAGGTTATCACATGCTAATATCGCATATTTCGCATGAAAAAACAATGCAAGTCATTTCTTTAAGAAAACTCGAAACATGAAGACATCAGACGGATATATATTACTTTTAAATTTTACATCTTTAAAGTATCGAGCGAAAGAATGAAAAGAAGTGGCTTAACAAGATTTTTCATAGTTATCTGAAGGATGAATTTCTGAAAGTTTTCATTAAGATTGTGAAATCGGGAATAAATCAGCAACACAGTTAAGTTTGAATGTCGTGAAATATTTTATAAAGTTTACATAAGGGGAATTTAATGCAATTTTACAAACACGAATCAATGGTGATATGGAGTGGAGTGAGACAATTTACACTGCGAGATTTCTAAAATATGCGCTCAATTTATTTAACTTCAAGAAGGACTCAAACACAGCTACTCTAGTAATAGCCATAATTGAGAATTGATTCTTCTTTTATGACAACAGAAATTTTTGCAATTAATATTTGCTCAATATCACATTAACAAAGCCGTGAAATTTAGCTCTCAAGTAAATACTAGTTTAAACACGCCAAAAGGGTGCACAATATTTGAAGTCAAGTGTAGTAAAAGCGAATTCATTTAATAATTTACTCATCATACATATTGATGTGCTGTCCATATGGCGATCTTCGCCAATAATTTTTACTTCATCATGCGAGGCGTTGACAACACGCGGTCTATGAAACCTGCTTTTATGAGATTTAGAATGCATATTGCCGACTCTAGACTTCGAGACGTAACTCTCTCGAGTCATACAATTTCAATTTGTGATCAGATAGACCTTGTAAATTGCAAGCATGCATTTAATATGCAATAAGCCTTAAACACAATGTCAATTGAGTGCATGTGCTTCATCAGAGGAATAGGAGTTGACAAAGTTCAATGGCAAAAACGATTCTGTTCTTTTTAGTGTCCAATGATTTTGTATTTGCTGGAATAACCAGTTAGAGGGTGATCAGTTTAGTTGTTCGAAAATGTTCGTGTCGATTTGTTGACAGTATATTGCCAACAATAGCCAATAAAATAGATTGTACTTGAATGGGTCCAGTGTGCTTCTTGATGAAAATATTTAGTCAAAAGCAACAAAATGATCAAATCTTTCGTGGATGAGAATGTTGCTCTAACCAAGCCCACACCCCGAAGCATTAAGAACAAAAATTTTCTCACTTCGATTACAGCCTACCATCAATTGGTGAAAAGCAGTGCAGCGTGGAGGGAAGGGGTGCATTTGTAAGACACACCTGAAGAAAGCCGAATGCTATTCATCGGTTGAAAAAGCGACAACATACTAATAAATCACATTTTACACCGTGTGGTAATAAATTCGATTGCAAAATATTTTTCACATGTGGCGCTAGCCACACATTTATTCACATTTTATTTTCATGTGAATCACCATATTCTCATTATTAATTTAACTCTACTTTTTGCCTAAAATATATTCACAAGGGCATCATATTGATAATACAATAACGAAGGATTGCAGAATAGTCTCAAAAATCATCCAAAATCGTCTGAATAATTGGATTAATTGATTAGCAACCATTACGAATAAATAGAAAATCACAAAAGTAATTGGTTTGATGCAAACAGATCGTAATCTGTCACATGTATTTAACAAAGTTCTCCTAAAGCGTTTATAAAAAAAGAACTATTAGACACAACAAGGTGCTTTCCAAAATGGTATTGGGGTCCATGTTACTCAGTTAAAATCGCAACAAAGGTTGTCTGACGGTGGTAAGATTGCAAATTTCAATGATATTTAATAAAAAACAATTAAGCAGTTGTTCCAAAGAAGCTCCGTTTTAGTGCTTATTTCATCATTTGCAACAAACGATAACCCGATAATTTCAAATGCTTGCGAGAGTTATAAATTGATTAGTTCTTTCATTATCAATGATTCATTTACACTATTGATTTTAACCACTAAATATGGGAATCCAAAGTCTTCCAAACTTAAACTTAATGAAAATTATGGCCTGCAATGAATTACAGAAAAATAGCAAGATAGCGGCATGACGACGAAATTCCAAGAGTGATCGCAAGTTGGGAAAAACGATGGCATATCATTAAATGACAAGTTAATCAATGTGATAGTAAATGATATGCTGATTTTTTAAATTAAAATTAAATTTAAAATACAATTCACGAGTTTTTGTTACTTCACTGTTCTTATCTCAAATAACGGTGTTTAGAGATACATCGAGTACGAAATATTGTAATAAGTAGACTAAACTACTAATAACATTTTAGTTGAACTCTCTAAGCTATACATTTTAAATCAACTCAACTCAATAATTCACAAAATACAAAACTTTGTTTGAGTAGTCTGGTTTCTATTTTTCCGTTTACCCAATGCACATTTGTCCTTAATATCTCATGTTTTCCAAGACATCTGCTCAAATAAATTATGAAAGTAAGACATTTTTGTTCTCATTTATTTTGTGAAACTTTTAACAAGTGTATTTAATATATCTTTCCAAACTCTTATTTGTTTACAAATACTTTTCAAATGGAAAAAGTAAAGCCATCAATGTGGTTTCAATGAGTATTGTCACCAACAACAAACTGCTGGAAATTTTAAATCAACTCATCTCAATAATCAACAAAATAGAAAATTGACAACAATCATAATCAAGCTAAAAGATGCATTGAAAATAGGCAGAATATGCCTTTAAAAGGTTTTTCCAATTGATAAATCCTCATAAGAGACGTAAAGGGAGAATATCCAAATCTGCGTTGGAATTTGCGTGTGGTGTAGTTGAAAGGGGTTCAGCTCTCAAAATTACTCATCTATCTCCCTTCCATCAAACGAACCTTTTCGAGAATAACTCCAACATCTCCCAGTTGCCTTCTCCAAAGAACGAGTATACGCCAAACTGCCATGTAATTAAGACATGGTTCAATTCATCAAGCAAAAGTTGGCTCACTGTGCAAAAAGTGTTTTAATTC